GAACATAGTTCTACTCTGACACACATGAGGTTGCCATGAGTCAGAACTGACTCGACAGCAACTGGCTTTTAGTTTAGTACCACAAAGGATTTGAAGTTGTTCACAAGAACATATAAAATAAAACAGACATATATGTAAATGAAGTTTAAAAGTCAAAGTCAAGGTAAATAAGTGTAGAGGAGAACGCAGTACCAGGAGAGCCCTGGGCAGGCAGGCAAAGGGCCCTCACCGTCACCAAGATTTAGCTGTGCATTGACTTTGAGCTGCCTGGTGGTCAAAGTAAAAAAAGGAAACAGAGCTGCCTGGTTTATGTGTCCATGCTGCCTTCCCCAGGTGGGCTGCAGTCCACTGAGGCTTGACCCTGTGCATATAAACGCATTGTCTCACCACATACTTGGGTGCCACGTGAGTCTCTCAGCCAGGACCCTCTCCCCTATCACAGGGTTGCAAACAGCCCACCCCAGAGGCCTCAGACTCAGGCCCACCCCTGGATGTTTCCACTTGGACCTTAACTTAACCTAACAGGGTATCTAGAAACCTTGCAAGGGTCAACCAAAACTTTCATTTTCATCTGGACCTATCAGAGTGTGTTCATTAAACAACCGTACTCACCTCCGTGATCAAGAAGTTTGCAGAGTAGCTGAGGACCAGTCCTAAGGCCTAGCAGGCTAAGAGAACAAGGTGAGATGAAATAACCAGGTCCTGGAAGGAGAGGTGCAGGTACAATGCAGAAGGGGGTCAGGGAAAGGCAGTGCTGAGGGGCTGGTGGCCAGACACTTGCTCTGTTCCTGGGGACCGGCAGCCGGGACTTGCAGCAGCGCCTGCTGAGAACCGCAAGAGATGCCCCCAGCCTTTCTCCACTGGGAGAGCTGTGGTCATGTAGGTGAAAGTTCTTTGTAAACTGTAAAGTGCTGGGTCTTGGGATTGGTTGCCTTCTATAGTTCACTCCCCGGTCCTAGCACCTGTTGTTCTGTGCTCTGGTACAGGGACCACGGTGCTGCCCAGCACTGTCTACCTGCAAACACCTGGCTTGACAAAAGAATCTGAGCCATTGCCCCTGGGGTGGCAGTGTAACAGCTTGATCTAGGCTGGGAGAACAACTCACTATAGTGTCAGCGACTGAAACCTCTGCAGGAAAGCCCACCTTGCTGGAGGAAGAGATGCCCCCCTCCCACACGTGCCCAGATCTGCCCCCATCTCAGCCACTCCCTGTGCTTCCTGTGCCAAATCAAGGGCCGGCGCCCTGACTCCACCTGGCAGATTGGAGAGGAACGGGGTGAAAGGAGTAGGGCACTGGCCTGCAGGTTGAGGAACTCAGCTTCTAGTCTTTTCTCTGCCGCGAACTAGCTGGTTAAGGGCTATGGCTGCGAACCAAAAGGTCGGCCATTCGAATCCACCAGCCACTCCCTGGAAGCCCTATGGGGTAGTTTTACTCCGTCCTAGAGGGTGGCTGTGAGTCGGAATCGACTCGACGGCAACGGGTTTGGGTTTTGGAACAAGCTGTCTGACCTTGGGCGACTTACTCCCAGCCTCAGTTTCCCCAAATGTAAAATAAGGAAGTTAGACTTGAATGTCCTCCATGGGCTCCTCCAGCTATGATACCCTGAGGTCCTCTGATTCCTCTGATGGGTCAAACCTAGGAGAATTGTGGGTGCTAGAACATTCCGTGCCCCCCCCCCCAACACCACCACTTAGAATTATTTGGCTGTGATAATAGAATGCATGGAATTGGTTTGCAAAACTGTGTGCAGCGTGTGTGTGCTTCTTAACCCCGAATAACAAAACTCCAAGTGGACCTGGCCACACGGGGGCAGCGTGAGCAGAGTCAGCGTTCCTAGGGCAGAAAGGGCTGTAGAGGTTGCTTCTCACGCTGGTTTCTACGCTGATGAATTTATTAGAGAGTCAGCAATAGAGGTTTAGTCACCTGCACGCAGAGAGAACCCCTGAGGCCTCCTTGAATGTTCAGGGACTCTGCGCTGGGGTAAGGTTTGTGCAGCCTTGCTTTATAGCAGGCCCTCTGTGCCCCTCCCCACGCACCACCCACGTGTGGAACTCTTCTCTGGCCTCTCCCCTGCCCTGGGCCTTGACACATTTTCAGGAAACTTGAGATGTAAAGCACCCCAGACTCTACAATGTTTTAAAGAAGAGAAGGGCGGGCCACTAGTGGGGAACCAGAAAAAGAGGAGGAGCTCCTGCAGAGTTGTGGAGTGGAGAAGGCATGCGAGGGAGCAGCTAGCCACTCATTTCTCAAAGGAGCAGAGTTTTCGAGGGTTGAGTTCCCTTGAAGCAGGATGTTCCTCACCCTGGCAGGGGAAAGGGAAGGGAGCTATATTTTATAAACTAAGCCCAGAACCCCACATGCAAAATGACCGTCTGGTTCCTAGAAAGCCTTGTCTCTGAGAAAGAGGCAAGCTCCTGTTTGAGGAAGACACAGGTGGAGGTGGAGCTGAACCAAGGACAAAGCCCCCAGCTGCCTACTAAAGCCTTCCCCAACAGACCCCACCCTCCTTTCCTCAGACTCCAACCAGCTGGGTCTACTCACTAAACCCTAAACACCTCATTTGCTTTCCCCCTTCAACACCTTTGGCCAGGTGTGCCCTTCACCTGGAATGCCACTATTTCTCCACTGCCAACATTTGACCCAGCTCCTTTGGAGGCCCAGCTCAAAGCCATGACCCTGGGAAGACTTTTCTGATTCCTCAGTTGAATGAGTCTCTCTCTCCTTGGAACAACCTAGAACTCTGTTCTTTCCTTCATCAATCCTATATTAGAGTGGGGGAAGGGTCTTCCATGTTAGACGTTGAACACTTAGATGGATAAGAACTCTTATCCATTTGGCTCCCAAGGGGCTAGCTCAGTGTCTCACCCATGGTGAGGGTTCATCAACATCTAAGATCTGCGGCGTCATCAGTCAACCTTTATTAAGCACTCCTGTATACAGGGACTATGCTTTCTGCATGGCAGTGGAAAGGGGAGGGGGAAGGGGGCCACTATGGACTGTAAGATACACCCTATACCCAACAATGCAAGGACGGGTGCGCTAAGCAACAAATGAGAGCCACATCCAGCCAGGGTTACGAGGGTCCTGAGGAGAGAAAACAAAGAGGATTACAAAGCAGAGAGAAGGGAGATGGCCACTGCCTTGCCCCAAGCTCCTTTACCTGAAATAATCTTCCAGTGAGCATGATCCTGGGACATGCCCCCTCCTCAAGGGGAGGACAAATGGGAAGAAAGAGGTTAAAGAGGGCAAGTCCAAACTCTGAGGGGACTGGGAGTCTAGTAAGGTGGCGGCTGGGTCTGTGGGGTCCCCTGACCCCAGGGTGGGGGGCTCCCAGTTGTGCCAATACAGGGAGGCTCCCACTCAAACATCCCTTCTCTATACCTCCTGAAGGGCCAGAGTCCTTGGTTAGTGGCCAAGAAGTGAAGCCAGCCAGCCAAGAGCCTTGAGGAAAGCGCCTTGCTTTGGACAAGGAAGAAGATGGAGCTGTCCTGGACAGAAGGTCGCTGGCTGAACCCTTCCGAGGGGCTTGGTTTGCAGGGGTAATCAGAGTGTGGCCCCAGCAGAGCGTGGGCCGTCACTTGCTGCCCTAGTCTGTGGCTTCTGCCCTCTCCAAGGGCAACAGCTCTGTTACAAGGGCCAAGGCCCTACCAGACACCTCTTCTCCAGCTCTGGGGGCGGAGGTTTCTGCTGCTTCTCCACAGCCAGTGCCCTCTGCTGGTGCTACAATTCCAAGGGTTCTAGAACTCACCTTTCTAGTGGAGAATTACAGTTCTTTGAACAACCTCTCCGTAGAAGGCCTGTCAGCGCTGTCTTGCTTTGATCTGGGAAAACCTCTCCAGGATGTGGTGGCCGGTAGGTCACCCGTCCCAGCTTCTTCTGAACAGATTTTCTTAACTTCCTTTGGTGCTGCCACCTTTAACCTGTTTACTTCCTGAATTCTTTCTAATGTCATGAGTTGACTAATGTTCCAAGCTGGAAGAGAGGAAGGAATAACCACATAGTAGAAGAGAGAAGCCCACAGCAAGACTGGGCAATACTGTTGGACGCCTAGGCTGATCCTCAGAGCCACAGGCCTCACACGTTTAGTGTGGTGCCATGAGATGCCCCCAACCCATACTGAACTGGCAACAGATGAGAGAGGCAGCAATCGAGGTTATTTTCAAGAGGGTCTGAAAGAAGCCACCTTCCTTTAGCAGAAGTGGTGACAGTGCTGGAAATTCAGCACCCCACTGCCTTACCTCTCCCTTTGCAATAATACTCAAACCACCTTGCTGCTTTACTTCATGATACTCAAACCTCTTGACTCCTTACTTTTTTGATGAAGAGGGTGACCACATTCTATTGTTCAATCAGGACACTTTGCAGGTGAAATAGGGCACTGTTAATAATTATGCTGTGACAACAGATGGACACACCTGGCAAACTAGGATGTGGGGCCACACTAACAATGGCCCAATACACAAGGCATCCCAGCCCTCCCAGGTCAAGCTTCTGCAACAACTCAACCTACACCTCCTGTTACCTTAGAGCCGCAGCCATTTACTGATGGCCTAAAGTGTACGCAGAACCGAGGTGGACATCGTGTGGGGAACAAAGGTAAATCCACCCTGTCCTCCCACCACTCACCTCTGGTAGGGAGATAAGATCAGAACACAAATGACAACAGCCTCGGAAATGGGGGTGGGGATGGGACAGAGGAAGGCAGAAACAAATGGCAGTGGGTAATCCAAGGAAAGAAAGATCTTCTTGAGTAAACTGACATCTCAGAGGAATTTCTCCCCAGGATGGAGAGACTGGTTTACCAGGGCACACATCCTGACTATATCCATAACAAAGTCAGCCCTGGAAGGTTAAAGAACATTCATTAGAACAAGGTTGTCCAGTTCTGTTTTCCATTCGTAGTGTCTGACCCACAAACTCTTGTAAAAGTACAATCCTGCCGTTCACTTAATGGCCCCACCTCTCCCATTGAGCTCCCTGGCCCACTGTCCCCTATCAGGTGCTCATCCTACAGCAGGGACGGCCGCTTCTGTACAGGAGAAGGAGCATCTCCAGGGCTGAAGACAAATTGCAGGAGCCCATCTGGGCCCCCTTCGGGGTCAAGAGCACATGTGTCTAACTGGATGTGGCAAAAGTCATAGCTAATGCGCACTCCTGCCAGAACCCTTGTGGACTGGGAGAAATAAAAAGCATCCCTACAGAAGGTGACATGGAAGTGAACGGGTTTGAAGACTTTCAATGACTCATAGGATCCTGGACAAGTATGTAGCCAACTGGTCTTTACCACCTGCCAGCAAAACTCCCTGCTCTGAGCCAACAACAGTCGAGGAATACAAATCCATCATGGCCACCTTTGAAGAGAGGAAACGCTCTGGCCCCAGGGCTTACTGTGAGAAATGCAGTGAAATCGTCTGCTAAGAGACGATTTTCTCGCACTCCACTCATTCCAAAGACAAAGTGTTTTTTTGCTAAAGTCTGTCAAAATAGATGCGCTTGCAATTCCCCCAGTCAGTGAGAAGGTGCTCAGGCTTGGGTAAGAGATCTGGTGCCTGGCCTGACTGCCTCTTGCTAGCTAGATGGCCTTGGTTGGGCAAGCGCCTTCACTGCCCTGAGCCTCCGTTTATCATCGGTAACATGGGGAAAGGCCCACCTACCTCACAGGTGCAGTGGGGTCTGATGTCTGTGAAAGAACTTTGAAACAGTCAAGAGCTGCACGCAGGTGAGACAGTATAATCATCAGTGTTAACCATACAGGGAAAAAAGAAAAAAATCTTACTTCTCATAATCAAACCTCAATTAATTGGAACCGCATGAGGAATGGTTCAATTAAAATTTCCGGCCAAATTAGGTTCAATGCAGGCCTCCATGCCCCCCTCCCCATGGAAGGCCTGAGTGATACACATTGTGGAAACGGAAAAGCAGAGATGTAGAAATGGAAGCAACTGTGAGGTGGGACTTGAGGAAGAATCTACACTGACGCCTAGAAAGTTGCTTTTGAAAAATAAATCTCATAAATGTTTGTAAGTTTTTCTTTTTCCTAAAAGGGAAGAAGCACCATTTAAAAAAAAATAATTCTTGCTTTAAAATTCCAGTTACCCATGTTCCTGGTTAAATGAGGTTTCTCTTTTATTGGCTCCAGTCTAAGCTGTTTTCTGGATGCTGGTCCTGCTTCGATCTCCCCAGTAGGCTCCCTCCGTCCTTCTACCCCCCACCTATGCAGACTTCCCATGTGGTCAGTCCGATGTCTTAAGTTTATAAAAATCATTACCTCAGATTTTCAGTAGGAAAAGTTCTATTCCGTGGTGTCTTGCAGTAAGCTTCAGTCCTAGTGGGAAAAAAAGGTTTTTAGGAGTCATCCCTAGATATGAAAGGACTAATTAATTACTTTTTCTTTCTTGTAATGATTATTTTTGGTAAAGATCTGTCTATAACTGCGGGCAGTGGGTCTTATATATCGAAGAAGAAAACATTTACCTGTATATAGTTTGCTAATGGTTTAAGTTTTTCTATCATAGCTGTTTTGATGTTAAGGCAAGTTGTCTTCTTTTTACTAATGGTTGTATTTTTCCTATGACTTTTAAAAAGTCATTTCCCCTGAACTCTCGTTTGCGTCGAAAGTGCCTCCTGTGAAGGCAATCTGGTGCTAAGTTCCCTGGAGTGAGGCGTCCCCTCTTCTCACGCCAGGTCTCCCCAACAGCATGCATGGCTATCCCGACCAGATCCCTCCCCAAGCCACCTGGTGCTTTCTACCAGAACAAGGACGTTTCTTGGCCCGGCCACTTGGCCACTGGCCTCCATGGGTCCCGTCTTCACCTCCATACAGAGCCCTCTGCCTGCTTCTCCTCGTCACGTGGAACAGACGAGCAGGTGAGAGAGCTTGGAGGGCTTCTACCTTCTTGCTGCCTTTTGGCCCTTTACAATATGGCTTCCAAAACCCCTTAGCAATTCCCTCAAGGAGTATGAGCCCCAGCCCTGTCAGCCCAGGCTGTTAAAGATAGTCCTCTTTTCCATCGCTTTTCCTAGCACAGTCCCATTTCCTTGTGACATCCGCTGAAGATTTCTCACCTACTTCCTTGCATCTGTCCTTCTTCTGTTTTCTTTATTTTCTGTTCTCTCTTCATTTACTTCTAACCCCCAGATCACTTGGCTGTCTCTCTGGTCCCTGTCCCCATGTCTTTTTTCTCCATTTCTCATCTCCTACCCCCTCCCCTCCAGTCCCAATAAGTCCCCAACGTTTCTCTTCGTTCATTGCTTGCCCCATCCACTAAGCACCATGATCCTCGCCCTTGGGGAGAAAAAATCTAAAGTCCTGTCAACTGGTGTGATCGTTTTTGTTTTTTGCGTTGTTTCCTACCACTCCTAGTACCTTTCATTTAAATTGATTCTTTGATAAATGTATATCATTTGTCATACTATGTTCCCCATAAGAGGAAAAATATACACACTCTAATTTTATTTTTATTTTTTATTCTGAGTCTGACAAAATATTGCTACTAGGACCACTAGTAAAGAAATGCTTCCTAGTTCTCTTTATTGCTTGGTTTAATGTTCATGTAAGCAAAGTCTCTAGGACTTCCTGTTGGTTTTAAGTCCCATATGTCACAGCAAATGTCTTAGTGTAGACCTGTGGCCTCTACATCTCAGGAGAAGGTGGCAAGCTCTAATATGAAGCCTCTACCACCACATGTCCTGGTTTCAACTTCCCCATCTTTAAAGTGACCATTAGATTGCAGCAAGGGGTTTTGCGTGTGCTGTAGAATGATCTAATCAAAGTAAGAATATAAATCTCTAAATGGTTCTGTTGCTGTCATAAGGCCAAAAGAGTTTATAATGACTGTGTTTAAGAGAAAATTAACACCTGGATTTTATGTGCTGATGGAAGGCGTTGCTGCAGGTTCATACAGGATGGTGTGATGTCTCCGGGAATATGATCACACGTGGACCTTATTAAAACATACATCATACAAGCCCTAGCCCAGCAGGGGTAGAGGCAGAAGAGAGTGGCATTCTACTGTACTAATTGGCCAAGAAATCTCATGCTGTTAACTGGTGCACAAACTCAGAGGAACTGGCTGGTTCCATGTAGAGGCGCAGCCTCTGGTCCCCCTGTTCAAACATTAGCTTAGTCATAAACCAAGATGTCCCCACTTGGAAGGGCGCTGAAGGAAGTCTGGTTTCTCCAGTTGTTTTCTTTTCTGAAATAGCCACTCATTGAGGTGGCCCTCGCCAAGTCTTGAGGCACTTACATAGGGTTCTTCAAAGTGCCTGTTGGTACCGAACTTCGGTGCTCACAGCTCTCAGCCCATCCACACCAGACTGCTCACTGGGAGGAAGGAGACTTTCTAGGGAACCTGGCAGACCTGGGACCTCTTGGGTTTCCACTTACAGCCTCAGACAGGCATTCCACTGGATGGGAGTAACACAAGAGCATGATAGCCTTTGTGGGCCTCCCATGGCCCTAACCTCAAACTTGGCCCTTGGTACTGACCCAAGAGATCCCTTCTGGACAGAATCCCTGAACCGCAGATCATGGCTTTTCCCCCAACAGCCTGTAGCTCCTTTATTCTGTTATGCAAGACTCTATCAAGCATACAGGAGCCTTGGTGGTGCAAGCTGTTCTGATAGACTGCTAACCTACAGGTTGGCACTTCAAACCCACTCAGCAGCTCCACCCAAGAAAAGGCCTGGCAATCTGCTTCTATAAAGATTATAACCAAGAAAATCCTATGGCACAGTTCTACTCTGTAACACATAGGGTCGCCATGAGTCAGGGCCAACTGCACAGCAGCTAACAACAGCGCCACCATCACCAAGCACACAGTCATTGGTTAAAGAGCCACAAATGGGCTCCAAAGAATTCTATTTTACAAGTCTGAGCAATTCCTTTATAAGACAGGTTATAGAATCTTATATTTCCCTGATGCAGTAAAAATGGCATTTTACCAGGAAAAGAATACAAAGGGGAGGTACCCAGTAGCCTTATTTCCAGCACTTCCTTTCTGCCCAACTTTCTGCCCTTGCAAACTTCCCCAGCAATCCCAGGCTGATCTTAACAGTCAGTTAGATTTTTCACATTTATCATCTCACCTCTTTCACTTTGGTTGTTTTCCTTGTTATTTGGCGCATTTGGATGTACAGTATTTAGGTGTACAGTATTTAGGTGTACAGTTTTACTTCCAGGATGAGCTTGATATTGGAACAGAGTTTTCCCTTGTTTCCCAATCCTTCGGATAATTTCAAAAGTGTTTAAATCCTTCCATTTTATCTATGTGGTACTGGTGCTCACTTCCTGTATGTAAATACCTTTGGGCATATCTTTGCGTTTTAAATACTGTCTCCTTTTTATTGTGATCATTATCACTGTTACTATATCATCATTCTTAATTTTGGATATATTTTCTGGTGCACTCAATTCGTTTTTTAAATCACCTTGGACATTTTCAAAGTATGTGGGTTATTTGTTTAAGTAGACACAGGAAAGCACTTTGCTTAGGCAATGAGCTCTTTGACAGATAGATATTTGCATTAAAGAATTGGTCCTTTCAAATGCTACCTAGATGGTTTTCTTTACATACAACCTTTTGTTGATTTCAGATGCACAAATGCACTTTTCCTTATGCCTATCACGGTTGGGTTTGGTTTTGGTGCTATTTCAGCAAAACTTGTGTTTCCCTACTGGATCATTCTACCCTTCCCATTCCTGACTTTGATTTTTAATTGCCAGTGATTCAATTTGCCAGTGCCTGAACAAACCAGGTCAAAGGTAGCTTTTTGCCTTGACAGTGAGGTCTTTGCTCCATTTCAGTAACTTCAGGCTAAACATGAATGACAGGAAAGCATCCCAGGTGGTCTGGGTTTGCCTGAGGACCTACTGACCAGATGGCTTCACAAGTGGCTCCCCTGGTGTTTTTGAGGTGGGGGACAGAGGCCCCAGTTAACCCCATACCACATCAGTTTGACAAGTCTTGCCCTCTCCCACATCAAAACAAGCCCCCAGGTAGGCTGCAACCTGCTCACCAACAAGGTAACACATGCAGAGGTGGGCAGTGTGGTCTTGGTTGAGAAGAGTTCTTCCTCACTGACCTGAAGAACTCCATCCCTCCCACCCAAGGCCAATGT